CATGACACCTCCCAGAAAGTGGAGGAAGACAATCTGAACCTCATAGCCCTGGTAGGAGATGTCTTCTTCTCAGTGAGGAAGTCCACCAGAATCTTTGGGGCAGGGACTGAGGAGAAACAGAGGTCTATGAGTGCCCAGTTTCACAGCAGAAAATACATGGGTGTGTGTAGCCTGGAATCAGAAGTCACTGTGAACATGATGAGGAGGTTTCCCATGAGAGTGGTGGTGCAGACAAACAGGAACACCAGAAACAAGAAGAGCTGGAGCTCCTGAGTCTGTGAGAGCCCCAGGACAAATTCTGATATAGACAAATTCTGATATGAGAGAGTCCCTCATTCTATGGTGTCTTCTCCATACATCTAAAGAAAACACACCAGGAAAGAGATGCATTATTCCTCAGGGGCTCACTCAGATTGAGTGTCCAGGTCTCGACGATGGACTTTCATGTGCAGATCATAATAACTGGTGCTGACTTAATGGTCTTGTCTCTGGAGATTTCACTAGTTGGTTCTGGAATATATATTCATCAGGGGCTTCCCAGGAGGCTCAGCGGTAAAGAACCTACCTGCCAATGCAGGAGACACAGGAGAGGTGGGTTCAATCCCTGTTTTGGGAAGATCCCCAAGAGGAGGAAATGGCAATCCACTCCAGTATTCTTGCCTGAAAAATCCCGTGGACAGAGGAGCCTGGCAGGCCACAGCCCATGAGGTCATGAAGAGTTGGACATGACTGAGCAACTGAACACAAACCCGAGTATATATTCATAAGATAGCTTAACGCTATCCAAAGACACATGCAACCTGCCTTTCAAAGATTTAGTGTTATCTACCGGTAGTAACACACTTGGAGTTCAACAGACCTGCACTTAAATTTCTATTTCCTTGATATTTGACTCTGGAGAAATTACTTAACCTCTTTGAGACTAAGTTTCCATATTTGTATGGTAGGAATAAAAATGACTTTCTTTATAGAATTGTCTAGAGGATTAAATAAAATAACACACATGGTTCCTAGAAGAGTGTTGGGAATAATAAATGGCAAACTTTCCTCTGTGTAGTCTCCTACCCTAAAACCTCCTCCCTTCTTTGAAAATCTATTTTATACCAAAACTTTTTATGCAACACTTACCACATCATAATGTTAATGAACTTTTTGTGTTTCTGTATTTTCCATCTATAATTCAACTAAACTTTTGCACAGTGATAAATATGCATCTTATAATTTATTTGTGCCCTACAGTGCCCATTTTTGCTGATAGTCAATACTCAAAATCTTTTTTTTTCATTTATTTTTATTAGTCGGAGGCTAATTATTTTACAATATTGTATCTTTTGGCTGCCATGTGGGTGAATATCTATAGGGAATGCCTCCCTTAACTGGTGTAGATGGTCCCTTACTGGGTGAAGTAACAGAATATTTGGTGTGTGTGCTGAGACATGAGATGGGGGAGAGAGATTGTCTGGGTTAAAAAAGGGGTGATGGACCTTCTATGAAGGGGAATGGAAGAACTCTTCTTAATGAAACTAGAATTTTAGAAGATGTTACTGAATATAAGGATAGAAGAGAAAGGAAGATATTGATATAAGAGAAAATAGAGAAAGCAATAAAGAGGGGCAATTAATAGGAAGGGAGAGGAAGGAAGGGGAATGTAAAGGTGGAGAAGAGGGGAGGACTAGGAATAAAGATGAAGGAGGACATGGAGGGTAAGAGATAGAGGTGACAAGTGAGGGTTAAGTGGCCTCCTCACTCCCCTGCCTTGTCTCTTTCCACCCCCTTACCTGCCTCTTGCAATCTGTTATCCAATAGTGGTCATTTTAGTCTCATCCTTCCGCTTCCATCTGCATCCACTTTGCTCCATCTTCTATATCACTGTCACAGAGACCTTTCTAAACTGGTATCTGATCACTTGCCTTGTTCATTATAACCTTTAATGACTATCAAGGACTCATAACTTAAAACTCAGAATCTTAGATGTATATTAATATCTACAACTACGCTTCTGGGATTTTTTTAAAAATTTCTACATTTAATGATGCTGATATTGGTTTTATATATTCACAGGCAATGTTTTTTTTTTCCATTTATTTTTATTAGTTCGAGGCTAATTACTTTACATCATTACAGTAGTTTTTGTCATACATTGAAATGAATTAGCCATGGATTTACATGTATTCCCCATCCTGGTCCCCCCTCCCACCTCCCTCTCCACCCGATCCCTCTGGGTCTTCCCAGTGCACCAGGCCCGAGCACTTGTCTCATGCACCCAACCTGGGCTGGTGATCTGTTTCACCCTAGATAATATACATGTTTCAATGCTGTTCTCTTGAAACATCCCACCCTCGCCTTCTCCCAGAGTCCACAAGTCTGTTCTATACATCTGAGTCTCTTTTTCTGTTTTGCATATAGGGTTATCGTTACCATCTTTCTATATTCACAGGCAATGTTTTAGGTACACACAAATTTAGAATTATTCTATCTTCCCAGTATATTTCTCATCTAATATTATGAATTATCCCTCCTTATTATTTTAAAAAATCTACTTTTCTAATATTAGTCTATCTACATTAGCTATTTTTGTGGGTTTTTAAAATCAATTAATTAATTTTCATTGGAGGATAATTACTTTACAATATTGTGGTGGTTTTTTTGCCATACATTGACATGAATCAGCCATGGGTGGACATGTGTCCCCCCATCCTGAATGCCCCCTCCCATCTCCCTCCCCACCCCATCTCTCTGGGCTGTCCCAGGGAGTTTTTTTCTTAGTTAGTGTTTGAATGCTATGTATAATGATAGTATTATTTCACTCTATTAAATTACATTTAAGTTTTGTCTTGTAAGCTGTATAAAATTAGATTTAAAATTTTTATTCAATATAACAATCTTTGTTATTTTAAGTGGGACATTTAGTCTGAATAAATTTAATGTAATTACTGACATACATGTTTATATTTATCATCTTAGTTTTTGTTTTCTATTAGTTCCACAGATTTTAAGATTCTTTTTTTCTTTTTTTTTTTTAAATAAAATAATCTCTATAATTTCTACAGTTCCCTGTCCTGAACCCCCCTCCCACCTCCCTCCCCATCCCATCCTTCAGTGACATCCCAGAGAACCAGCCCTGAGCACCCTGTATCATGCATTGAACCTGGACTGGTGATCTGTTTCACATATGATAATATATATGTTTCAGTTTTTTTGGATCTTTTTTTCTTGTTTCTTTTTAGACAAATAAAGTAGTTTTGACTATTAAAAACAACAACAACAACTCAGACTCTGAGAAGCTGCCTAACATGATTTGTGGGTTAATTCATGGTTCAAAAACATGCTTACATGTGTGCATGCAACTCCCTCTCAGTAGGTCACACTAAGTTCTAAAACATAGGCTCCATCTACCTTTCTTACCAGTATCTTTGTTACCCAGGAACTGATGGCTAGTCAGGAATCCAGGGTGTCTCACATATGCTATATGTTTGGTTATTTCTGTAGCTTTGGGAATACATTCTGTTTCCTGAAATACCTCCTACTATCTTCTCAGCCTTGAAGTCCTCAGATATCACCTCTGTGACTCCTTCTCCATTTCTCACATGAAGAATTAATCCATTTCTCTGGGTTCTGGTTCCGATAACATTTTGTAAGTACATTTGTTACAGCTTTTATCATATTTTTCCTGTTCTTTCTCTTAACTAGATTGTAAATTCAATAATTTAGTAGCCCCAGCACCTATAATAGCAACTCTGATTTAGCGTTTGCTCAAATATGTTCCTATTCTAATGTATTAGGAGATAATTACGTGATCTTGTTCAATGTGACCATGTAGAAAATTGTGGGGTGTATGACCTTACCCTTTGCTCGCAGCATCTTCCCTCCAAATCACAAGACCAAATGTTACTTGGTGGTTAAAAGCCTGGTTTTCACTTGCCACTTGAGGAATCTGTTTTGAATGCCTTATATCCTCTGCATTGCTGTTGAGGTTATCCTCAGACTTTAGACTGACTAGCATGGAGCTCATATCACTTGTTCATTCTCTACACTCTCCAACAAGTGTTTCTGGATGCTTCTTACAGCTGCTTTATATGCAGGTGAGAAAATTCTAGTTTCACACCTTCCTTCAGCCCAGAATGGGAAAGAGTCTTCAGGTCATCCATCTTCTTAGAGATCCTTTATCTGCAGGATCAGTTTCCCAGCCAGTGCCCATACTTCACCTATAAAACAAGGAGAGTGACCCTAGGAGACAAGAGTGTATCCTTAGGGAGAAACCACTGGACTGCCTCAGAAAGCAGGACAAGGTCCCTGCCCTCTCTAGCCTGGGCTCCCCAACCATCCCACATTGTCCTCATAGCCATATCATCCAAAGTATATAAAGATTTGGTCACTGAAGTAGAATATCCTGCAGAATATTCAAGAAGTATTTGGTCCAGAAAGACCCAATCCAAAGTACAGGTAGATATGTTCTTTGATGATGGAAAACATTTAGAAACTTAACAAATGATATCACTTCCAAAATACCACAGTGTGGAATGAGTCAGAGAGCATGAAGGAGAACAAATGTAATTGTTCCAGACTTGACATAAAAGTGTTGACCATTCATCAGAGATATTCACCCATAGAAGAAGAACTCCCTAAGTTTTCCCTTGTGATGGTGAGATACTCTGAGTTTCAAATCTCACCCATATCTCCTGCCTCAAAACCTGGAGTCAGAGGAACCAACTCCTGGCCAAGCTCTGCCCCTCACTTGCTGCTTATTATTGAGCAAGTCTTTTCTCTTTGAGTTTTCTCATTTGTAAAACTGTATAACACTACCATACCTTCTGTCAGTTTTGTAAGAATGAGAGAGAAGTCTGACAGTAACTAACAAAATAGCTGACACAGGAAAATGTCCATAGAAATATTAGTTTAATTTCAACTGTCACACTCCATAAAGACTTTCCTCCACTTCTCACATGGAAAACAAAGGTTCAGTGAGAAGATTTGTCATTTAAAATCAACCTATTTTAAGTTCACTCCCTAGTGGAAATCACTAGGTGCTTGCCTAATCTCTTCAGTGCTGCCTGCATCTCCTGGTTCCTCAGGGTGTAGATCATGGGGTTGAGCATAGGGGTGATAACAGTTTGGCTGATGGACACAGCTTTGTCCATGGGAAAAGAGGTAAAGGGCCTGGCATAAATATAGATACAGGGAATGAAGACCATAGACACGACAATGATGTGGATGGTGCACGTGGAAGCTGCCTTCCTCCTCGCCTGCCCAGAGTGGGACCTGAGCATCACCAGGATGACTGTGTAAGAGATCAGAAGGAGGAGGAACCAGATAAGGACCAGCATCCCACTGTTGGAGATCATAAGGAACTCCAGCAGGGAGGTGTCTGTGCAGGCAAGTCTTAGCACTTGTGTAATGTCACAGTAGAAGTTATCTAGGATGTTGGGTCCACAGAAAGGCAATGGGAGCATCAGAGCCAGCTGGACAATGGAGTGGAGAAAGCCCCCTACCCAGGCAGCCACCACCAGCCCCACACACACTTGAGTGTTCATGATGGTGACATAGTGGAGGGGTCGGGAGATGGCTATGTAGCGGTCATAGGCCATCACTGAGAGGAAGAGGAGAGTCCCACCTCCCAGAAAGTGGAAGAAGAAGATCTGGGCCATGCAGCCCTGGTAGGAGATGGTCTTCTTCTCAGCGAGGATGTCCACCAGCATCTTTGGGGCAGTGACTGAGGAGAAGCAGACATCTATGACTGCCAGGTTTCTCAGCAGAAAATACATGGGTGTGTGGAGCCTGGAATCAGAGGTCACTGTAACTATGATGAGGAAGTTTCCCATGACAGTGGTGGTATAGACAAACAGAAACACCAGGAACAAGAAAAACTGGAGTTCTTGATACTGTGAGAACCCTAGGAAGACAAATTCTGATACCCACGTGAGGTTCCATGAATCCATGATGTCTTCTGCATACTCCTAAAGAAAACACACCAGAGATAGGCATGAAGTTGTTGCTTGCTCTCTTAGTGCTCAAGGCCTCAATTCAGCTGTCCAAGTCAATTTAATGGACATTCTTATGTACAGAGTCCAATGCCAACTGCTGACTGAATGACCTCGTCTCTGGAAAGTTTACTAGTTGGTGCTGGAAAAAAACATATGTGAGACATTTTAAAGCCATCCAAAGACACAAGCCACCTGCCTTTCCAAGATTCAGTGTAATCTAGGTGGAAAGATACTTAGAATCAAACCAAACAGAATCAAATTTGAGAATTTCTATTTCTTTGAGATTTGGCCTTGAGTAAATTATTTAATATGAGTCTCAGTTTCCACATCTGAAAGAAGTATGTTTTCTTTATGGAAATCAGCTAAGGGATTAAATAAAATGACACGTAAGCTTTCCAGGACAGTATTTGGAATAATAAATATTAATCACTCTCCTCTGTGTAGGTTACTGTACTCCAGTCTCGACTACATTTTTTCACCAGTTGTTTTTCCTTTTTAAATATTAATTTATTTAAAAAAACATCTTATGTTTTATATAACTTAAAGGCTATTTTTCAATTAGAGTTATTAGAAAGCATGAATATTGTATCAATCATTTTTCATGCAACAGTGAAAGCAACAGAATGTTCATGAAGTTCTCATGTGCCTATGTTTTCCCTTCAGAATTTAATCATAATGTGCTAGACACATAGGCCTTGATTCCCAATTGATTTGTGCCCTGCAGTATCCATCATTGGTTATGGTTGGTAATTAAAAAGTGCATGCGTGTGTGCATGCTATGTCACTTCAGTCATGTCCAGCTCTGCAACGCCATGGACTGTAGCCCCCACCCCCCAGGCTTCTCTGTCCATGGGATTTTCCAGGCAAGAAAACTAGAGTGGGTTGCCATTTCCTACTCCATGGGATGGGATCTTCCTAACCCAGGGGTCTCTTGTGACTCCTGCATTGGCATGCAGATTCTTTACCAGTGTGCCTCCTGGGAGAGAGAGATCCAGTTTTAGCTGAACTGGTTAAGGATTTTTTGCTATTTATGGGGTTAATCCCCAAAGCAGAGAATGTCCTAAATATTCCAATTGAGGTGGTGTCAACTGGGGTTAACCGCTACATGTGTTAAAAGTTATTGGGGTTCAGGACATGTGAGGGAGTCTCTGGGTACAGCTGCACATCTGGGACATTCCATTTCTTTCCAGCCTCCAGGGTAGGTGACCCTTACTGAATGAGGCTCCCCAGACTATATGTGGGAAAATGGCAAAGGGGTAAGTATCTCATTAGTGAAGAAATAGATAAATACATTGTTTGAAGGGGACTTAGAACTCTTCTGAAATGACAGCAATTTCAGAAGGTGGTATTGATCCAAGGGTAAAAGAAAAAAAAATGTTGAAGTAAAAGAATGTGAAATAAATGAAGAATTCAAAGGAGAAAGTATATCCTAAGGAAGGAAGCTGGGGGAATAGAATGGTGAAGGAAGAAGATATGGAAAGGTGGTGTGGCAGGGGAGGGAGTGGGAACAAAAATGAGGAAGGACTCTGAGGGTGAGAGACAGGGGCAAAAGGCGAGGGTTAAGTGCCCTCCCTATCCTTTGGCTTCCTCTCAATCTCCACCCGCTCTCACCTGACTTCCTGAAATCCATTATCTCTCAGGGATTGCTCCCTTTGGATTTTCCCTTTCACCTTTCATTCCAGTACACCTTCTACACAGCTGTCCATGAGACCTTCCGGGATGCTAATCTGATCACGTTCCCCTCTCACATCTACTCTTGTAGTGATTCTACCAGAGCCCCCTAGGAGACACATATAATACTTTGTGGATCAAGTCAGGGTAGAAACATATACAAGGGCACACAATTCAGCATGTCACACAGGGCTCTAAATGTAAGTTCCATCTGCCTTTCTAATTAGTACCTGCACCTCTGGTGAACCACTAGCTCCTTAATGGAAAATAGTCTTAAAGATGTTGTGTATTTATTTCCATTTTTGCTTCCTGCAATTCTCTTCATCATCTTTTCAACCATAGAAAAAGTCAATGTTATGGTTGAGAAGATGATGAAGAGAATTGCAGGAAACAGAAATGGAAATAAATACACAACATTTTAAAGACTATTTTCCATTAACCTTCTTCATCACTCATTATTTCTCCCATGCAGAACAAATTCTTCATTTTTCAATGTTCTTTTTTAAAAATTTTTTTATTTTTTATTTTTTTCCATTTATTTTTATTAGTTGGAGGCTAATTACTTTCAAAACTGGGGCTTCCCTTGTGGCTCAGATGATAAAGAATCTGCCTGCAATGTGGGAAACCACAATTCCATCCCTGGGTCAGGAAAATCCCCTGGAGAAAGGAATGGCAACCCACTCCAGTATTTTTGCCTGGAGAATTTCATGGACAGAGGACCTTGGCAGGCTACTGTCCATGAGGTCATAAAGATTCAGACACAGCTGAGTGACTAACAGACACACACACAAACACACACACACACACACACACACATTGAAAACAAACCTCTGTTACAGGTTTATTATCATTCATTTTTTTTTTTAAACTTCTCCCCTCAACCAACCACATCATAATTTCAATACCTTGGTAACCCCAGAACTTGAAACAGCAACTCTGATACACCTTATGCTCAGTGAATATTGTCCAATTAATGTATTAAGTAGGTAATTAATTATGTGGAGATTTTAAAAGTGATTTTACTTATGTTCTGTTCCCTATCTCATAAGGCCAGATCTATATTTGGTTGCTAAAAGTACTGGGTTTTACATGCAACCCGAAGCAGCTGTTTTAACAGCACATACCCACCCTCAGATTTCTCCCCAAGGCTCTTCTCCAACATTACACTTAGTCCCATCAAGTTTAGGTCACTTGTTTATTCTCCCCACCCTCCAACAAGTGTTTCTAAGAACCTAACTGGGTTGACCTATCTGAGGGTGTGGAAACCCTCAGGCTCTCAGCTTTCTTCAGTCCTGGATGGGAGAAGAGAATTCATGTCTTATGCTTTCTGGGAGACCATCTCTATACAGCCTCACAGCTTCCTCATCTCTGGCATCACTCACACACATGAGTCATGACCCTGGGGAAGAGTGAATATTCTCAGGGAGAAATTATTGGATTGAGCTCAGGAAGCAGAGTTGAAATAATTCCCACTGGGGTGAGGGAACAATGGGAGTTGTTAAAAAAAAGTTTCTAAGTCTCTCAAAAACACTATTTAAGAGGCCTACCTTGAGGACCAAAAAACCCAAAAAAACAAAAACAAAACAAAACAAAAATCAAATACAAACACACACAACATAAATAAAAGAAAAGTCAACAAAAGACACTGAAAATTATAGAGATTCATGACATGTAAGATTAGGAGACCAAGATTAGAAAAATCAGATTCTCTGAAAGTTTCCAGGATTTTTGAAAGGACCCATTTCAGAGACTATAAGCATGCACCTGAATCACCTGAAGGGGATGCTAAACCTAAGATTCAGTAGATCTTGGATGGCTGAGATTTACAGAGAATTAGCATTTCTAACAACTTTTCAGGTGATGCTAATACTACTTATCTGGGGCCACAGTTTGAGAATGCCTGAGTTTCACTGCTCTTGTCAGCATAATGGACAGTTTCTTTCTCATATTATCAAGACCATTGGTTTGACAGCATATTTTAAAAAATTAATTGGCTGTATTCTAGAAGATGACAGAGGAATAGGATGGGGAGACCACTTTCTCCCCCACAAATTCATTGAAAGATCATTTGAACGCTGAGCAAATTCCACAAAACAACTTCTGAATGCTGGCAGAGGACACCAGGCACCCAGAAAGGCAGCCCGTTGCCTTCAAAAGGAGGTAGGGCAAAATATAAAAGATAAAAAGAGAGACAAAAGAGTTAGGGACAGAGACCTGTCCCGGGGAGGGAGTTGTGAAGGAAGAGAAGATTTCAAACACCAGGAAATCTTCTCACCAGCGGGTCTGTGGGGAGTTTTGGAATATTGGAGGGCAACATAATTGGGAGGGAGGAAAAAAAAAGAACCCACAGATTACATGCCTAGCTGCGACTTCCAGCAGAGAGGTAGCCCTGACGCTCACTTCTGCCGGCAGCAAGCGAGGCCTGAACAGGGAAGCACGGGCTGCCTGCATAGGGTGGGGACCGGGTCTGAGTGCCCTGTGGACAATCTGAGGGAGCTAATGAGAGATAGCAACCCAAACTCTGAGCAAATTCCACAAAACAACCTCTGAACGCTGGCAGAGGACACCAGGCACCCAGAAAGGCAGCCCATTGCCTTCAAAAGGAGGTAGGGCAAAATATAAAAAATAAAAAGAGAGACAAAAGAGTTAGGGACAGAGACCTGTCCTGAGACAAAAGAGTTAGGGACAGAGACCTGTCCCGGGGAGGGAGTCGTGAAGGAAGAGAAGATTCCAAACACCAGGAAATCTTCTCACCAGCGGGTCTGTGGGGAGTTTTGGAATCTTGGAGGGCAACATAATTGGGAGGGAAAAAAAAAAAAGAACCCACAGATTACATGCCTAGCTGCGACTTCCAGCAGAGAGGTAGCCCTGATGCTCACTTCTGCTGGCAGCAAGCGAGGCCTGAACAGGGAAGCATGGGCTGCCTGCATAGGGTGGGGACCGGGTCTGAGTGCCCTGTGGACAATCTGAGGGAGCTAATGAGAGATAGCAACCCAAACTGTGGGATAACCAGAAAGAAAAAAAGAGAGAGAGAGAGACAACTTTCCTGTGAAAAGCTCTGAGACACAGCCTGGCCCGCTCACAGAACAAAGGGTTGAATGGATACCAGAGGAGAGCTAGCCGGCAGCAGACTGGTCCCTCCTCATGCAGGAGGCAGAGAGGCAGAAGGGCGACAGCCAGAGCCGGAAGGTGAGGGGTAATCTCCGTCCCAGAGACAGCATCCTCCACCACACTGTGAGCAGGCTCCCAGTTGCAAACTAAGTCTTCCTGGCGTCCTGGACAGT